CCGTCTCCCTTGCCCAAAATATCTTCAAACACTGTACGAATTAAATATCCTGCAACGCGGTCTACATTAAATCCATGTGCCCTACTTCATCACAGCCCTCCACTGACAGATGGCCCACAAATCTTGTTCCCAGCAACAACATTGAGCACTTATAATTCTGGTGTTGGTAAAAGTGTAAATGACTTGGGTACAATACAAAACTACGCAATGCTGTTGCTTGACCGCGTGGGCTTCGCTGTCAAACTCAAAATAAGCCTCTCTTTATGCGCTGTACTCGCTAAAATCTCTTCAAAACCAGAGTATCAAAAGACGGGCAGAACATAGATAAAAACATTGCGAGAGATAGAGGGAGGGAGGGAGTTTTAGATCAAAAATCAAATCAAATCAGAATCCCTGTTAATGGGGTGTTTTGGTTGAAACAATCCAATCCCATTTGAAAGTGAGAAACAAAAAAGACGAAGCGGGATCTCTTGGTTTGATTTGTGTATGGTGTTTAACCCTTCTCCCCTTTTGAATACTTTGTCTTGTTATTCTGGTTTCCAACTTGCAGTTTTATAAAATGGAAACTTTTGGTACTTTTGGCTTAATGGAGGGTGAGAAAAAATACATTACTGCTGAAGAGCTGAAAGAACACAACAAGCTTGGAGATTTGTGGATCTCTATCCAGGGTAAAGTTTACAATGTTTCAGATTGGGCTAAGGAGCATCCTGGTGGGGAAATCTCGCTTTTGAATCTGGCTGGACAAGATGTTACCGATGCATTTATAGCGTATCACCCTGGAACTGCTTGGCAATATCTTGACAAGTTCTTTACTGGGTATCATCTCAAAGATTTTAAGGTCTCGGAGGTATCCAAGGATTATAGAAGGCTTGTCTCGGAGTTCGTAAAAACTGGTATGTTCGAAAAGAAAGGACATGTGGCCCTTTGTTCATTAACATCTGTAGCTATCATGTTTCTTGTTGTCCTTTATGGTGTTTTGAGATGCGATAGCGTGTGGGCTCATCTGGGTTCAGCCATGGTGTTGGGTATGCTTTGGATGCAAAGTGCATATGTTGGTCATGATTCTGGTCATTACCAGGTAATGGCAAGCCGTGGTTACAACAAGCTCTCTCAGATTATTTCTGGGAATTGTTTAACTGGAATTAGCATTGCCTGGTGGAAATGGACTCACAATGCACATCACATTGCCTGCAACAGCCTGGATCATGACCCTGATCTTCAGCACATTCCAGTTTTTGCGGTATCTTCTCGTTTATTCAATTCAATAACGTCTTACTTTTATGGAAGGAAGTTGGAGTTTGATCCTTTTGCAAGGTTTCTGATCAGTTACCAGCATTGGACATTTTATCCTGTTATGTGTGTAGCAAGGGTAAACTTGTATGTGCAAACATTCTTGCTATTGTTTTCAAATCGCAAAGTCCCAGATAGAGCTTTGAATATAATGGGGATCCTTGTATTTTGGACTTGGTTCCCTCTCCTGGTTTCATGTCTACCCAATTGGCCAGAAAGGATCATGTTTGTGCTTACCAGCTTTGCTGTTACATCCATTCAACACGTTCAATTCTGTTTGAACCATTTCTCGGCAAATGTATATGTTGGACCTCCAAGTGGCAATGACTGGTTCGAGAAGCAGACAAGTGGGACATTGGATATTTCGTGTTCTTCCTGGATGGATTGGTTCTTCGGTGGTTTGCAATTCCAGCTAGAGCACCATTTGTTCCCCAGGTTGCCCCGATGCCAATTGAGGAAGGTTTCTCCAGTGGTGAGGGATCTTTGCAAGAAGCACAATTTGCCATACAGGAGTCTTTCTTTCTGGGAGGCCAATCAATCGACGATTAGGACTCTCAGGACAGCTGCCCTGCAGGCCCGGGACCTAACCAACCCTGTTCCAAAGAATTTGTTGTGGGAAGCGGTTAATACTCATGGCTGAGGATTTGTTTCTTGGCCCCGGCGTATATTTTTCGGGGGTAAAAAATTCAATTTCATTTGACTGCGGCGTTTATGATGAAAATTCCTGCTTTTTAGATAACCAGATTTATGTGCTCTGCTTTTTTATATACGATTCAGATATTCTACCTTAAATTCTTTTATTTTCTATTTTTCTGTTAATCTCAATGAGCAAAGGGGTGTTTAAACCTCTCTGTCTCTCTCTTTTTGGCTTGAAGCAAAGGCTCTGTAGTAACGATACATCCATGATTGATCTTCCTTTTCCGAAAAATTGTTGACTTTGATGCAACTGGATCTTGACTTTGATCTTTAAAATCTCTTTTCTTTTTCCGAAAATTGTTGTCCAAGTTTTTCCTAAGTTGAACTAGGTTTGATTTTCCTTCGATTTTCATCCAATTGCCATAGATTCACTAAAATTCAGCTATCCATCACCTTTTTATTTTTTTTAACGCCCTTTTTTCAATTTCCAATTTTCCCTTTGTCTTTTTCACTTTGACTAACTAAGAACAAAAAATAAAAATAAATTAAACAAAGAAATAAATAAAGAAATACAAATAAATAAAATAAAATAATTTGTATGTTTTAATTATTTGGCCTTAAAAGCGAATTAAAGGGTCCAATAATATAAGATTTAGGGCAAAATAAAATTTTTATGTACACTAAATTTTAAAAACTTATCAGTGACAGATTTTTTTTTGTTATATTAAGAAAGTAAAACTCTAATACAAGTAAAGAGGAGGAAGGAAGCTTAGCTCAAAATTATACATTTCATGTCCTCTCAATCGTTTTTAACCACTAGATCAAATGTTTAAAAACATAGTCTATTAATAATGCATAACATATGTAACATTGTCATCCCATGAGATATAAACTTTTATTTGAATTAAACCTTTTATGTTTTTTAAAATAATAAAATGTACTTTATCAAATATATGAAGATTAAGGAAGACAACATACCAAAAATTGTGTAAAAATTTTAAGCTTCTACAACTTTTTTACTTGTTTCGATCAAATTTTTATATAAACGAAATTTTTTTTTTAATTCTGTAATATAAAAATCTTTTGTTTTATGTTCATCAAACAAGGATAAATAATTTAAATGTAAATGAGAAAACAACTTAAGTGAAGATAAAATAACGTATCTATGATCATAACTTATAGTTTGATTGATTAATTTATACTTTATTACCATTAAGCTAAGATCATTTAAAGGATTAAATGCTTCATTTTCAAGCTCAAATTTAACAATTACATTAATTTGGTAGATATTTGATCAAGAGGACGATCCATTTTCACTTAAAAATCCAACAAATAAGTAGTTTGATACTTTTTGAATAATGTTTTTGGAGCAATACTTAATTTGTGTTTAAAATTTAATATTATTGTTTAATTATAATATAGATAAAATTAATTTGTATATTACACGAATCATAAACTAGTTTAATAATAAAGTTCGAGTTTAATTAAAGGTGTTTTTAAAAATAGTATATTTCTTTTATCATTTATTACATATATAAATTGTGTTATAATATATATGTATATTTTAATGTTAAATTTAGAATTAAAAATTTTATTTCATATAAATAAAAAATTTATAATAATAAAAATATTACAAATTTCTTAATAATTGAAGAATATTGGAGTTTTTGTGATTTTTTTAAAAAATTTTCTCAAGGGACAGAATAATTTAACAGTCAAAATATGTGGAGAATATTTTAAAAAATAACATATGCATGTATATATTTTTCATATATACATGCTATTAATCATATTTAGATCATATTTTTATTTTATATTAAAATATAATGATTTTAAATAATTTAAAAATTGTAAGAAAATTTAAATATTTTACTTATTAATTATATTTTTATTTGAGAATAAGCGAATTTAAATGTTAAATAAAAAGATAGTTATACTTATTTTTAATTAAAAACTCTAATAATTTATACTTTATCAAAGTAAAAAAAATTTTGTGATCCTGGAAAGGAAATTTTCCAGTTTTCATTATAATATAAAAATATTAAAAAATAACTTTTTTCCACCAACCAATGTCATAAAGTTAAAAAAAAAAAAAAAAAAAGCCTCACACGTCAAACATTAAAAAAAAAAATTGCACACACGGATACTCCCTGTAGTGGTGGCTACGTATCCGTTATTTTTAAATATTTGTATTCTAATTTGATTACATTTCGAACAACCGAAATCCTATAAATATTCGGTGACATGTGTGCCTTCTTTCTTCGTAAAAATCTAAAATACTAGTTGTATGAATTAGCGTCTTGCTTATTATTGCTATTCATGGCATTTTCGAAGTACAGGCCATAGTACATCTCCAATCTTACTTCCTTTTGTTTTCTTTGCTTTTCTTTCTTTTTTTTTTTAGGTTAAATGCTGAAGATTTACAGTTCATCAAGATTCTTGAATGGAAATTGATTTACGGTTCATCAAGATTCTTTTCTTTACTTTTCTTTAATGCTATTTATGTATGGTTTTCTCTTTCCTATATTTATGGAAATATAAATATCAAGAATGGAGTTTATTTAATCGTTTCTTTGGTTTTCCTTATTCAGCAAAAATATTGAATACCTCATCTGCGAATATCTTGAGCACTTGGATTTCGATGCTCAAGCTTTCAAAATAAAACTTGCTCACCACCCTTCGTTTCACTTTAAAGACGAGATGAATAAATTGTTTCAACTCTTCATCAACAACGCTAAGGATTTGCCAACCCAAAATCTTATTTTGCCCTTCTTTTCGTACCAGCGTTTGGAAGATTTTCCCTGCCGTCAAAGACGCAGAAGGGAATCTGACTACTATATTGGAAAGCAATGGGATTGCCTTCATGAGTTCATATTCCAATATCTTCAGCATTTAGGATATCATGGCTGGGATTTCAAATTTAGGGCAATAAATCCGAAAAAGCCTGAGCTTTTAGAGATGAAGTGGTTTTCGGGCTTCCTAAAGAGACTGGTAGAATTTGAAGAGCGGCAGACAGACATTGTTCCAGCAGAGAACAATTTGCCTGGCATATCAGAGTTTCTGCTTGAACAATCTGACCTGCTGGTGGTGTCGTGTGATCCTATAGTTAATATGGAAAATTTGCCAGGCACATCAGAGTTCCCATTTGAACAATCTGACCGACTCGTACGTGATGCCGTGGACAATTTGCCAACCACATCAAAGTTTCCGCTTGAACAATCTGAACTGCGGATATCGCGTGGAACATCAGAATTTCCACTTAAACAATCTGACCAATGGGTATCGGATGGTTCCGCAGCTAACGAGCAACTAGATTCTGAATTTGGGATGGAACATCATGTTGAGAGATGGGTAAATGAAGACTGGAGCGAACTCGATAGTCTCTTTAATTTTGAAGTAGGGAAACAAGCTGTGCAGCTAGAAATGGATTTGCCGACTGCAGGAACAGAACTCACAGATGGTCGAGATTATACTGATCACTTCTTCCAAGATCCCGCATATCATGCTTCAGTACAGCAAATGAATGCAGCATTGAAGTCAATAACAGGCCAAGAAGATTTCGTGCTTGAAGCATCTGACCAGTTGGCTGTGGTGACCTCCTCACACTCGCAAGCTTTGCAGCAATCTGACCTGTTGGTATTGCCTGATCCCGTAGTTAATATGAAAATTTTGTCAGGCACATCAGAGTTTTCATTTGAACAATTTGACCTGCTGGTATCACATGCTCCCGTCGTTAATATGGAAAATTTGACAGGTACGTCAGAGTTTCCGCTTGAACAATCTAACCTGCCGGTATCGCATGATTTAGAAAATTTGCAAGACACGTCAAATTTTCCGTTTGAACAATCTGACCTGTTGGTATCCCGTGATTCTGTTGTAAACGACCCGCTAGATTCTGACTTTCGGATGGAACAACATGTTGAAGGAAGGGTAAAAGAAGACTAGACCGAAGTTGGTAGTAGAGGAACAAGCTCTGCAGCAAGATCAGTGTTCCGTGAGGTGTTTTTCACTATTGCAAAAGCCAAAGTAGGTATTGGTATTTGACTCTTACGTCTGAATAAAGGGGATATGGTGTGTTTTGCTATGGTTAATAGTCTGTTTAGCTTTACAAGGTACCTAAGATATGTGAAGGATTTGATCATTCAATGCAGAATGTCCGTGAGGGAAGCTAGCTAGCTAGTTAGTTTTAAAAAATGCAACAATCAAGAGCTTAACCAAGAACCCGTTATGAAACCTGTGCTTGAATTAGTGCGCCTGATTGAAGGCTAGCAGATGATAAAGAATCACGCAGAAGTACAACGAAAAAACTAGCTGTGGGCAACAAATTTTTTCGACATGCCATTTCAATGGAGAATCAGAATCTACCCTGCAAGAGATACCTGAAAAAAGTGCTACTTCGCAGGTTTAAAGAGTAAGCTTGCATGGAAAAAACGATTAGAAGAAAATTTGATGAAGAATATCAACAAAAGATTCATCAACAACCTTTATTTTCTTCTCAAGAAAGCACCGCCATATAAAAATGAAGAACTGGACACAGAATAATTTTAACGAGTTTGAACCCATACTTATGAAGATTAGAATGGATTTAGAGGAAATTACATGGTTGCTAGAAAGAAAATAGGTGAACAATTAAATACGAGTACAGGGATTACATAGCTTGCTTCAATGAAAAGAAAAATGAGCCTGAGCGGATGAAACATCAGAGACTTAAAAAATTGCTTTTCAGTCTGAGAAATTGATGAGTTGGAAGGCCGAGATCCCTTTAATCCATGGATGCTAAAGAGAAACTTGCATTTTTTTCCATGGTCTGAGGAATAAAGCTGTTTAAAAAGAATGAAAAACTGTCTCAGCAGCATGAGTGAGGGGCTGATTTATTCAAAATAAAAAACATTGACATTGTCAAGCCGGTGGTTGACTGTTTTTAAAATGCATCACTTTTGTTCATTTTTCCCCCCGAAGAAGAAATGAACTGACTGTACGTAATTTTTATTATATATAATTAAATATTTCTTGATACCAGCCAGACGGAAGCCTAACTACACTTATGAATTATGACTTCGGTAGTTCTTAAAATCCATAATATTTTTGGGGCATATTTTTCCGAAAGCGAAAATGCTTAGTAGCTAAGTCAGTATACTAATTGGTCAATTACTCAGTAAACTTTTATATTAAAAATATTTGTTGGTAGCACGCTGATTGTCACGGGCTAAGCTTTCTCTCAACAAATAATAGATCGTACGGCACTTGAATGGATGCTCCCACCCAAGTCAACATTCACTAGTTCGATATCTGAACAAATAACTATAAACTATGGTTAGTCCCAAGCATTCACAATAAGACACGATATATCGAGATCAATTTCAAGCATACACACAAGAAGGCACATTCACATCGAAAAAAAGAAAAATACATCGAGATAACATCGGGACATTTAATCGGGGTGAATTTTATTATAATCTCGAATCATACATCGAGACTTCCCACCATCACCAGGGTCAGGGGGACAGCTCTTGGTGGATGGCCTAGGCCCGCATAGCAACCGGTGAGACAACCCAATAGATGCTGCCGGCTCACCCCCTTAAAGAGCCTTAGAGATTTTAGAGCTATGCTACCACTAACCATTACAATGTTTATAATGGAGACACTTTTCCTAGCACAAGAGATCTACTCGACCATGGCCCTATACATAGGTGGCTCATGACAACCTAAGCCCCGGGCATGGCCCTATACAAGGTTGGCTCATGACATCCTCCCCCACTTATTCTATCGACGTCCTCGTCAACTTGCTGGCTTGAAATTCTTCAATCTTCCTTTTGAATCTCTAAAGGTCATGTTCTTTTTCCCAGCTGGTTTCTTCTAGTCCTAATTCCTCCCACTTCACTAAGTATTCCCGTACTAGTCTTCGAGATATCTTAGTTTTTCTGTTGGCTAAGATCTCTTCGACTCGACGTTCTGAGGGTGGCTTCATGGTGATGGCGGTTCTGGTTGGCTCCCTTCGGCTAGCATCTGTAGGATCTACATCAAAAAGTTTCAGGTTGCTCACATGAAATACTGGGTGCACCTTCATCCACTTTGGTGGGTCGATTTTGTAAGAAGCATTCCCCACCTTAGAAAGGATCTTCACTGGACCTTCATATTTACGCACCAGTCTACGATCTCTCTTTCTCAAGAATCTGGTTTGTTCAGGGACTAGTCGAACAAGAACCAAATCACCAACTTGGAATTGTCAAGCCATGCGACCTTTGTCTGCCCATTTCTTCATTCGTTTTGATGCTCTCTTCAGGTAGGCTTGTGTAATCTCCGTGTTTTATTTTCACTCATTACCGAGGTTGAAGGCTCTCGGATTCTTCCCTCCATATTGTTTCAAGAAAGTGTGGGGTAACCTTGGTAATTGTTCGGTGACCACCTCAAATAAACTCTTATTGGTGGAAGAGCTTTTGTTGGAATTAAAGCAGAGTTGAGCAACGTCCAATAACAAAGGCCAGTCTTTCTGATTGGCTTGAACAAAGTACCTCAAGTATTCCTCTAGTAACCCGTTGAACCGTTCCGTTTGACCGTCGGTTTGAGGGTGGTAGCTTGATGAGATGTTGAGTTGGGACCCCAATATCTTGAAAAGTTTTCTCTAAAAAGACCCCGTGAATCTCGGATCTCTATCGCTGGTAATGTTTTGAGGGAGGCCCCAGTATTTGACCACATGTTTGAATAATAGTCGAGCTGTGTCTTCCATTGTACAATACTTGTGAGCGAGAATGAATGTGACGTACTTAAAGAACCGGTCAATTACCACCAAAATCATTCCAAGATCACCAACCTTGGGTAGACCCGAAATAAAATCGAGAGAGATACTTTCGCACGCTCTGACGGGTACCGATAATGGTTCAAGCATGCCTGTAAGTTTCTTTTTTTCAACTTTGTCTTGTTGGCAAATGAGGCAAGTCTTTGTATAATCCATCACATCTTGTCGCATATGAGGCCAATAGTATCCCTGTTTCAATAAAGTCAAAGTGCGTTGTCAGTTCGGATGTCCGGCCCATGATGTGTCATGACATTCTCTCATCAACATCTGTCTCAGACTTCTTACTCTTGGCACAAACAATCAAGGCCCCTTGGCCCACAAGACCCCATTTTCTTGCTAGAAGTACTTGGACTTCCCTTCTTTCACTAGCTTCAGGATGGCACAAACTTGCGGGTCCTTCCCTAAATGATCTTCAATCAACTTGCGAATGTCTGTCATGGCTCTGCTAGCAGCCATTGGGGCAATTCTTCTAAGGGTCGCTAAATCTATTCGCCTACTCAATGCATCGACTACTTGATTGGTCTTTCCAGTGGTGTGCTCAAAACAAAAGTTGAACTCCGCTAAGAATTCTTGCCATCTAGCTTGTTTCACTATGAGCCTTGGTTGGGTGAAAAAATGACTAACAGCCACATTATTTGTCTTCACGACAAAGTGTGAACCCAACAAATAATGTCGCCAAGCCCTCAAGCAGTGAACTACCACCAGGAGCTCTTTTTTTTGGGCCATATATTTTCTCTCAGCTTCGTTTAGCTTCCTACTTTCAAATGCTATCGGGTGATGTTGTTGTAAAAGTACTCATCCAATAACAAAATCAGATGCATCCGTCTAAACTTCGAAAGGCTTTTCAATATCAGGGAAAGCTAAGATGGGATCCTTCATAATAGCATTTTTCAATCCCTCAAAGGCCTCTTGGCACTCACTCGTCCAACACCATTTATGCTCCTTCTTCAATAGCTCCGTGAGGGTCGTGATCTTGCGAGAGTACCCTTCCACAAACCTTCTATAATAGTTGGCTAGTCCCAAAAATGAGCGAAGTTCACTAACATTCTTCAGTGTTATCCACTCCTTGATGGCCCTAACCTTTTTCATGTTCATTTGAATGTGGCTACGTTCGACAACGTGATCGAAAAAATGGATTTGGGTCTGAGTAAATGCACACTTTTCTCTTTTAACGTATAACCGGTGGTCCTGTAACCTTTGAAGCACCTGACGTAGGTGTTCTTGATGTTCTTCCAGAGTGGAGCTATATACCATTATGTCGTCTAAATAGATAACTATAAATTTGTCTAAGTAGTCATGAAACACCTGATTCATCAATGTACAAAATGTGACAGGAGCATTGGTCAGTCCAAAGGGCATAACAAGAAATTCAAATGCATCATACCATGTTACACAAGTGGTCTTTGGCTTATCTCCCTCAATAATTCTGACCTGATGGTAGCCAGATCTCAGGTCCAATTTGGAGAAGTACTTGTAGGGATGGCATCGAATCGGGTTCGGGGCGGGTTTTGCTCGCCCCGAATTCGACCCGACTTAATGCTTAAAAAACTCGAACCCGACCCTACCCGAAAATTTTTTTATTTTTTCATACTCGAACCCGAATCTGATCCGACACTATATAAACCGTATCCGACCCGAAATTAATAAAATATTATTTTTTAAATATAAATATTTAAAAATATCATTATATAAATATATATATAATTAAAAAATTAAAAAATTAATTAAAAATTATTTTTATATATATCGGGTCGGGTAGGGTCGGGTCGGGTTTGCCTAAAACCCGACCCTGACTTTGTCTTCATGCTACCCGACCCGACCCGACCCCGACCCGACCTTCGATTTTTAAAAAAAAAAATCGACCCTAAAAAATCAGGTCGGACCGAAACCCGTCGGGTACGAATTTTTTTACCTTCCCTAAGTACTTGGCCCAGCTCAATTGATCAAATAAATCTGCTATAAGAGGGATGGGATATTTGTTTCTTATGGTGACTTTGTTCAGGGCCCTGTAGTCAACACATAATCGTAAACTTCCATTATGCTTCTTCTGAAATAGCACTGGCATTCTGAAAAGAACCTTTGATGGTCTAATAAACTCGGCTTGTAAAAGCTCATCTAACTGTTTCCTTAGTTCGACTAACTTTGGCGGGGCCATGCGATAAGGGGCTCTAGTAGGAGGTTTCGCTCCTAAGAGGAGCTCAATTTCATGGTCCACTGCTCATCGAGAGGGCAGAACCTTAGGCAACATCTCTGGCATCACCTCTTCGAATTCTCTCAACATTTTTTTCACGCCATCGGGTATCGGTTCCACTCTCGACCCTTCTTTATAGATCGGTATAACCACAAATGAGGGTTTTTCTCGCTTTACCCCTTTCTTGAACTGTAAAGCTGAAATCAT